TATATATATATATGACATTAAATATGGTGTAAATCAGTCATTGATCTTTCTTTCTTTCGTTTGTATGGGGCTTTAATTTTACTTAAAAATGTTAAATTTCTTTTGAGGCTTTATGTTAGTGTTGTTCAGCGTCAACGATTTCAATTGGACTATAAATCCTTGATTTAGCTTAAAAAATAATTTTTTGATATGTCGCTGGTTATGTATTTTGCCTAGAGGATTTCTAAACACAACATTGCACGACGTTCATACCTATGTAAATTTGTACGCCTGATTGTTTTAATTCCTCTGAATACGAGCGTTTCTGCCCTTTTGTAGCATATTAATTGCTCTAGATGACGAGATTTAAGACAATAATTTAATGTTTTCACTGTTAAATTAGATATTACATCCGAACATGTATAAGAATTACACAGAAGTGTTAGTACAACAGTCATTTGCTATTGCTTTATATGACAATTTCTAACACGTATCAAACTATTTGTCTAAATATAGTATCGAAACTCAGTACAATACTTGTGCGTTCCATACTATTTTGTAGTTAAACGATAGTCAGTGTTAAAAACAAAGATCACCGGCAAAACACAAAGCGACTGTATCAAATATTTAATGAAAATATGATGAAAATGTGTCCCGATCTTATCAGAAATCTAAATATATTGGCCAAAACATTCTCCAAACGGTCCACACAAAGTAATTATTACAAATATATTTTTGCAGTTACAGAAACTTAAAAGAACAGAAACATTAATATCTATATCAGTTCGACCGACACTGCAGGTTAAAACAACATTCCGTTCTCGGTGAATTACATGACCTTTGACTCCAGTCCATGCCACTACAGTAATGCGATATAATTTCAACTATCAGCGTTTTGTAATACCTATCTGACACAGTTTATAGTACATCACTAAACATTTTTTATGCAGTTTGGGAAACTGGTGACGTCCCACAACCATGCCGTAATAAAAGCTGCATCATTACCTAAACTAGATAAAGGACTGTACTGACTCTTGCAACTTCCCTTCCATATCAGTTACAAACTGCATTTTCAAACCAAAACATAGAAGGAATAATAATTGACATATTCCTCTGGTATCTTGGGTCCAACAAAATATTATCATATTTTATTGTCCATTGAGACACCAAAAAAGAATAAGTGACCATCTCGTCAGACTCGAAAACCATTTGTTAAAGAAGCAATCATAAAGAAAGAACCTATATTCATCACCTCTTTTTTACTTGGAGACATCTTATGACGGCACTTGCAAGTACTGAATGGGCAGCCTAGATGAAAGAGGCCGCCTACTAAACTCTTTAAGAGCTTCTTATAATAGAAACTTAAGAATTAATGTAGGTTACAAGTGTTCTGAAAACTATTTTTGAGATATTGACGTTCCGCAAGTCAGCTTAGTGTGAGTCATTCATTTTAACATCAAATAAACAGCATATTGAAATGCAGTAATCCAGGAAGCAAGTAATCATTATATATCATAGGAAGCAAGAAATCATTATGTCACAGGAACCAAGTAATCATTGTATGTCATAGAAACTAAGTAATCATTATATTTTACAGGAAGCATGTAGTTATTCTATGTCACAGGAACCAAGTGATAATTATATGACACAGTAACCAAGATGTCATTATATGTCACAGGAACCAAGTAATCATTATCTGTCACGGGTACCAAGTAATTATTTTATGTCACAAGAACCAAGAAGTCATTAAATGCCACAAGTATAAAGTAAACATATGTCATAGGAACCAAGTAATCATTATATGTCATAGGATGCAAGTAGTCATTATATGTCACAGGAACCAAGTAATCATTATGTGTCACAGGAAGCAAGTAGTCATTATATTTCACATGAATCAAGTAATATTTTTATGTCACAGTAACCATGTAATCATCACATGTCACAGGAACAAAGTAATAATTATATCACAGTAACCAACTAATCAATATATGTTACAGGAGCAAAGTAATAAGTATGTCACAGTAACCAAGTAACCGTTATATGTTACAGGTACCAAGTAATCATTATGTCTCGGGTACCAATTAATCATTATATGTCACAAGAACCAAGAAGTCATTATATGTCATAGGAACTAAGTATTCATTATATATCAAAGGAAGCAAGTAGTCATTATATCACAGGAACCAAGTGTAAATTATATGTACAGTAACCAAGTCATTATTATATGTCACATGTGCCAAGTCATCAATATATGCCACATGTACCAAGTAATTATTATTTGTCACAGGAACCAAGTAATCATTATATGCCACAGGAACCAAGTAATCCCTATATGTCATAGGAGCCAAGTAATCATTATATGTCACTGGAAGCAAGTAGTCATTACATGTCACATTAACCAAGTAATCATTATATATCACAGGAACCAAGTAAACAATATATGCCACATGAAGCAAGTAATCATTATATGTCATAGGAACCTAATAATCATTACATGTCACAGGAACCAATTTATCAGCATATGTCACAGGAACCAAGTAATCATTATATGTCACAGGAAGCAAGTAGTCATTGTATGTCACAGGAACCACGTAATCATTATGTCACAGGAAGCAAGTGGTCATTGTATGTCACATGAACCACGTAATCATTATATGACACAGGAACCAAGAAATCATTATATGCCACAGTAACCAAGAAATCATTATAAGCTACAGGAACCAAGGAGGCATAATATGTCACAGGAACCAAGTAATCATTATATGTCACAGTAACCAAGTAATCATTATATGTCACGGGTATCAAGTCATCATTAGATGTCACAGGAAGCAATAAGTCTTTGTATGCCACAGGAACCAAGTAATTATTATATGTCACAGGAACCAAGAAGTCATTATATATGTCGTTGGCTTTTTCTATCTTATGGTCTAAAGTGTATGCAAAGTGTTAAACGTCAGCAACATATAAGCTTCATAGTTCAGAAAGATTAAGCGTTTTATATTGTACATTGGTTGCATGCACTCCTGTTGAGTATATCAAATTTACGATGACGCAGAACTCTATCTTGACGTTTCTTTTATCCCTGATGTGGAGAAAATCCAATTTGTGGTACTTAAATTCTACCATGCAATAACTTTTTCTACATGTTTTATTCCATATGGTCGAACGTTCAAAAGTCCCAGATTTAACAGAGTTAATCTCACATGAAGAACATACGTATATATGACAAAACATGTAAGATGAAAACTCAGCATACCAACTGTGGAACATCAGATTCCTTATTGCAAAGTGGGGCATCACTCTTTTAGACCAAATCGCAGTAATGACGTCGTATTGTTCCGATCGTGCATAGGATACATGTACCATCCTAAAGGGTGGATCTTGTCCAGAACATTTGTTCTAATAGTATCCGCTAGCAGTGCAACACATTCTTGTTAAGTGTATGGACTTCCACCCTGTGAGACAGATTTTGCTAAATGTGAACGTAATTAAGGAAAATTTATCATGTAACACCTGAAAAAAATTCTTGAACTTTTTGAGGGAATGCAATATATATTTCTGCGATACATTCAAAGAATTGTGTATTTCTTTGCCTACATACTTCATATCTTTATCGTTTATCTTGTAGTGCCTAATGTTTACATTTATGTCGACACGTTATATTTTGTTACAGATTGTATAAGATTCTTCATCATGATATGACTTTAATTGTAATATTTGTATTGCATTGTACCTTGTAGTAGATTTATAAAGTATATTTATTCTTTTCAGTTCTTTTGGTAAGCATAAAGAGATGAGACGTGTAGACTTTTGTTAGGTTTATAAACATGAATCGTAGGAGACGTGTAGAATTTTCTGCTTTGTTTGCAAAAAGGGAAAGAGACGTGCATTTTATTTTTATAAACATGAAGGAGGAGAGACGTATAGACATTTCAGGTTTGCAAGCGTAAAGGGGAATATATGTGTAGTTTTGTAAGCAAAAAGAGTAAATTTGTGTACACTTCAGTTTTGTGGCTAATCGTTTTTTGAACCTACCGACTGCACTCATTAATAAGTCCAATCCACACGCAAGCAGCATAGATACTGATCTGAAATCTCGAAATAGTCTCGAAATGTGCAGGCAGATTTGGGTAAATATTGCTGCTTCTTTTACTGATTATTCTCAGCGGATTGCATAGACTCTTGTACTTTCTGCGCATTATAGGACGATATATAAGACTGTGCAGTTTTTTGTCGACCCGACATATAAGAGAGTATTCGTGAGCTACCATGATTTTAATAGTAATGCTTGTCTCAAACACCCATTTGCTAGAAATTTTTGAATGACATCGTGTGCATACTTTATTAATAACGTAAGAATGCTATTTCAAATTAAAAATTACCAATAACCAAATAGTCCGGTAATTGTTTGAAATAATATAATTGACTAATTTTACTTTCCACATACCAGATACAAGCGCAATAATATCCGCGCATCATTTGTAATCAGCTGTAGACAGAAATAATCAAAAAAACAGGTCGACGTCAAAATGTTAGAACTCTTAAGTGGCCCGTCCGAATGGCCTGTTCAGAAATGTGCGAAATTAGAAAGGAGATTTTTTTTTACAAATGAGTCGTAGGTGTCTTTGTTAATCATGTAAAGGAAACAACTTGCTTGACGTCTGCACATTCAGAATCGACCTATCGCTCGATATTAAAAGATCAAATGAAAGTAACAGGTTTTATTTGATATGCATGGTATTATGTGCTACCTTTGGCAGAAATAGATATACGTGGAAATAGATGGAAAATCGATCGGTACAAAGTTGATCTTAATACCCCGTGAGAATCAGAAATCGTAAAGTGACAACTTTATAGGTGATCCTGCTAATTTGTAATTGCAGATCGTTTGTTCTCACATTCTCAAAAACGATGTATGCTGTGATATATATATATATATATATATATATATATATATATATATATATATATATATATATATATATATATATATATATATATATGGCACACACACACACACCACTAAGGTGGCCTAGTGGCTAAAGCGTCCGCCTCGGATGCGGAAGATCGTGGGTTCGTTCCCCCCCCCCGGCTAATTCATACCAAGGACTTATACAAATGGCACTAATGCCTGCCTTGCTGGCGTTCAGCATTAAGAGGTTAAAGTTAACGCAGTTCGGTTTGATGTTAGGCTAATATGACTTGTTGGGACATGATGATACATGTCTGCGGCATGATGCTTTAGTGCTAGATATAACTATGAATTGCCAATACTGCAGATATCATAGCGATATGAATGAAAAGTCATTAAAGCTACGTTAAAAAATTCAAATCATTCATACATACATACATACATACATACATACATACATACATACATACATACATACATACATACATACATACATACATACATACATACATACATACATACATACATACATACATACATACATACATACATACAAACCACTTGCTTGACGTCTGCACATTCAGAATCGACCTACATACATACATACATACATACATACATACATACATACATACATACATACATACATACATACATACATACATACATACATACATACATACATACATACATACATACATACATACATACATACATACATACATACATACATACATACATACAATATTACCTAGACATTTCATTTTTTAAAATTTCAGATGGAAAGTCTGTCAAAAAGTGGACACCGTTTACATACATTTTCGTTGAGTAAGCCAGTCTTCGCATGGTTAAAAATACCACAAACCAAAATATGTTATTTTGGTGACGCTATCTATACGCTAATTCGATTTACGCGCATTCCTTTTAAAGTCAGCTAAAACAAAGGAGTGAAGTAAGATTTGCGCCTCTGCCATCGTTTTAATGACATCGCTGGACCCACGTGCAGGGACTTGAGAGCTACTCACATTCGTGTTATAAGTATATTTTTTGTTTTAAATTATTATTTCAAAAACTTTAGAGATTTATTTATTTTTTGCAGGTAAATTATTTCGATGTACATCATGACCTCAGGAACGCATCTGGGGCGTAAATCAAGCGTCATCTGTGTTGTAAATTAATTGCTGTGAAGGAGCATTTGATTCTATTATATTACATCCACACACCCACACGCATATGTGCTCTTTGCAACGTGTACATTTGAATGAGATGACTGTATTGCAATGAACATATGGATGTAAGTCTTGTAATTTCCTAGTCATTTGGCACATAATCACCATTTCTTTTCCTTTTCAAATAACACAATTATTAGATTAATGCATGTCACCTTAGAATACAGCCGTCACTATAATACTCTATCTATGGTCATAGACCCTATTAGCTTATTCATGGCTCTTATTAGATTGGTCATGGACCCAATTACAATAGCCATCGTTCCTATTAAATTAATCATGGTTCATATTATCATGGCCCTTATTAGATTTGTCGTTGACCAGATTAGAATGGTCATCGTCCTTATTAACTTAGCCATGGATCCAGTATCAATGACCCTATTAGATAACAGGACCCTATTATAATGGCCATTAATCCTATTGGAATGGTCAATGATCCTATCAGATCCGTCCTAGATCCTATTAGATTGGTCACGAATCCTGTTAGATTAACCATGGACCCAATTCAATTGGTCATAGATTCTATTAGATTGGTCATTGATCCTATTAGATTAATCATGGACCCTTTTATAGTAATCATGGACCCTATTAGATCAATCACGGACAATATTAAATTGGAATGGAATGGAATGATGGAATCATGGAATGATGCCTGCCATTTCTGACGTAAACAGTCTTTGATACAACGTTTAAAATCAGTATACGGTGTTTTAAAATCAGATGGTTCTAATGATAGGGCCATTTTAGCAACGCTGTCTGCTTTATCGTTACCTTTAATTCCAACATGGCTGGGTAACCAACAGTATACTATAATATGTGAGGTACTCAACTCAGTATGCTTAATAAGAATATTAGCCAATAAGGGATTCTCCAGTTTTCAATTATGTAGTGACTAAAGTACTGATAGTGAGTCGGAGAAGATTATGCTATTTGAAATACGTTTGCTTGCAATGCCATTTTGATATTATTAAAACCAACAAATTATAAAACTTTTCTGAAATTTTGAAATTTAAAATTTAAAATTCTAATACCACCTGTGTAACACGTTTGAAATAAATTGCTATTTGAAAAATGAAGGGAAAAGAAGACATTTATCCAAAATAATGTTTACAATGAAATCATCTTATGAAGGGTTATCGCCAATAATTAATAAGTTATGGTTTGGTAGGCAACTACCGGCAAGCTTTCTCCCATACCCGCGTATGTCAAACCGAGACTGGAACCTACGCCGACAAAGGCGAGATACCATTGATTTGTATAGGCGAGATTGCGGGGCATCTTGGACATCTGGTAACCCTAGTTTTTTAGGTATTGTAGATTTAGTCTTTTAATGTATGTAAAGAAAAAGAACTATTTCGTCGTGCTTTCCTTACTGTATAGTAAAATAGTGCAACGTAACAGAACCTACTGCTCCATTTTCTAACAACCACCAAATATGGCGTTGATAAACGCACATGGTATAATCATTTACCTACCGTATATACACGATTCTGACACAAACAACATCGACTTAAAACTGACGTTGTTTAAAACGACAACAGATATGAATCCATGCAGTTTTACAGGCTTAAGCAGTGGAATATAAAATATATACCGTGATATGCCGGCACATTGTTTTAGTTGTTTTTGGACTCGATTTATGAGCGAGCGTTTTCAGGAACAATCGATAAATGATATTCATAGATCTTTCTTACACACATTCACAAGGAGTTCGCATCGTTGAAAAACCCATCTTTTAATATTTTAGGCCTTTCTAAATGATTTTCCTCATAAACCATCGTACCTCACGGTGGTCCGAAAAGTTAAGGATAAGTTGTTTTTATAGTGACATTGAAACAACTGTTTGTTGCATATTCAAGCCTTTTGAGTACATGACAGAAGCCATCGTATCCTCAAGCACACGAACAAAAAAATAATTATCCACATATTCATATCCGTACCATACATACAAATATACATGCACAAACATCCATCCATCCATCCATCCATCTACGACCGCAACGCACTCAAGCGTGCGTGCGTGCATGCATGCATGCATGCGCGCATACACACACGCACGCACGCGCACTCACATACATACATACATACATACATACATACATACATACATACATACATACATACATACATACATACATACATACATACATACATACATACATACATACATACATACATACATATATACATACATACATACTTGCATGCATGCATACATACATGCATGCATACATACATGCATACATACATACATACATACATACATACATACATACATACATACATACATACATACATACATACATACATACATACATACATACATACATACATACATACATACATACATACATACATACATACTTGCATGCATGCATACATACATACATACATACATACATACATACATACATACATACATACATACATACATACATACATACATACATACATACATACATACATACATACATACATACATACATACATACATACTTGCATGCATGCATGCATGCATGCATACATACATACATACATACATACATACATACATACATGCATGCATACATACATACATACATACATACATACATACATACATACATACATACATACATACATACATACATACATACATACATACATACATACATACATACATACATACATACATACATACATACATACATACATACATACATACATAGAGACATAATCAAAGTCAAAATACCTTTCCTCTCCAATCAAGTCAAAATGCCCCTCCTCCCCAATCAAGTCGAAATGTCTACTCTCTTATATCAAGTCAAAATGCCTCATCTTCTCCTGTCAAGTTAAAATGCCTTCCCCTTTTTGATCGCTTAAGCTAAGTCAGATAAACAGACTATACGTTTCGTAATGAACACGAATATTAATTAATTCTGAGTTCCAAAATTCGTTTGGACACTTCGAGATGAGGATGTTTCATTAAAAATTGACCAGTTTTTTTTTTTGATCGATCTGGAAAATTACATCTTCTTAAAAATGTGCCTTCAGTTGAGCAGGACAAAGCCAAACTACGTTTCAAGCGCATGGTGACTTCGATTTTTCAATATGATATAATAATTCAACTTTTCGATATGATATGATAATTCAATGAATAAACCGAAAAAGATAGATGATCCATATTTTATGAAATTGTAGCACTACTCTTTAAATTCATCCTTCAGAACATATTCTCATGTGAACAGATTGAAGACTTTTATTCGCTGTTGAATTGATTTGTAAGCCTTTAATAGGATGCATGCCTTGTGAATGTCATTCATGTGTCATTTATGGCCGTATAAAGTGACAATTAAAATTCTTTCAGATAAGCACTTACCTAGACTTACTAGTTGCGGAAACTTTTCAATCGTAATTTTGTGACATTAACTGCAGTCAATTCCAGCTCTGTACAGACAAAACATTAACTAGTAACTATGAAGTCTGACGTAATTAGAGCAAGGAAAACTTTTAGCCTAGTCAAAGGCATACAAATTGTACCAAGAGCGGCATCGCTAGGGGCTATGCATTAAGAGGTCAGTATTAGGATTGGTCGGCCGGTCCGGTGTCTGGATAAAGTGACTGTGTGGGACTTTTTGCTACATGTATGCAGCATGATGCCTCAGTGCCAGACATCACTTCATCCCTATAAACTGCCTCAAGGCAGACATCGTAAATGAAAAATGACTAAAGGTACATTAAACACACACACACACACACACACACACACACACACACACACACTTACACACACAATGTCGTTATGATGTGAGTCGCATTTAATGGGCTCATATGCACTTTGAAAAGCTATTTCCTTTTCTGTGATTCAAAACGAGGAAATTTAGTTGATACTTAAACCTTTTATTCTGAGTGCTCACGAGGAACTGTAGCGTGTATTTGTAACTTCTATACAATGGGAATTATATTTTAAAGAT